TATGTATATATGTATATATATGTACTTTGCATGTATGTATGTATGTATGTATATATGTATATATATGTACTTTGCATGTATGTATGTATGTATGTATGTATGTATGTATGTATGTGTGTATGTATGTGTATGTATGTATGTATGTATGACAGTGTTATTGTGTTACTTCATAACTATAACAAGTCTGATTCAAACTTCTAGTGTCTTAATAGGTTTCAATGCAATGTTCTGACAGCAGTGAGTTCACAAGTTCCTGTTTAGCCTAACTCCCTGAACCTTTTAGGATTTCCACAACTTTCCTGTGGAATCAAACTGATGTAAGATCTAAGTTTGACTAGTTTTTATGAGCACTTGTTGAACTCTAACCCACCTTGGTTCTGGCCAGTAAAGGGGCTCCTCTCTCCAGCAGCAGCTCCACAGCTGTCTCATGTCCGCTACGAGCTGCACAGTGAAGGGGGGTCAGACCGTCCTGCAGAGCACAGGAGTGTGTTACTGTTGTCTGACTGGATCAGTGATTCACAAGTTCATCAGCTCACTTCTGTTGAACACTCAGCTGCAATAACGTCACCACAGACAAATGTGAGCAGAGGTTCAGTCAGACTAGATGTTTCTGTGTTTCAAAATAAAAATAATAAAATAAAAACAAATGGCATGACCAACTTCTTGCATATACCCTCCACCCCTCCCGGGGTAAGGGCCACCAAACATAGTTCTCAGAGGTCTCTATCCTGTGGCATTGTGTCCAGTTTGCCCCAGTTATATCCCATCCTCTGGATGTTTGATTCGAGGTCATGCCGCCAGGTGTTTCTTGGCCGGCCTCTCCATTTGCCTTCAGGGTTCCACCTCAGTGCCTGCATGGTGAGGTTGTTTGGCAGTTTGCATAAGGTGCACCCTATCCAGTGCCATCTTTTCTTCCGGCGTTCATCATCTGCAGACAAGTGTCTTTTTCTTTTCCCATAAGCTGGTATTACTGATGGTCTCAGGCCAGCATATCTGCAGCATCAGTTGGAAGCAGCTATTGTTGAAGGTTTGAATTCTTCGGGTGATTGTTTTAGTAGTTCTCCATGTTTCAGCTCTATACAGAAAGAGCACCTTCACATTGACATTGAACAGTCTTGGTTTTGTAGGTAGACATCTCCAAACGTTTTTAAGCTGGATAAAGGACACCCTGGTTTGTTCAATATTTGCCTTAACGTCTACATCAGTACCACCATGATGATCAATGATGCTGCCAAGATATGTGAGAGACATAATTTCTTCCAAAGGGCTCACGTTTAAAGTAATCAGGCTTTTGTTGCTGTTAGGACTGAATTTGAGTATACTGGTCTTGGTGCTGTGGATGTTGAGGCCATCTTTTGACAATATCATTGCCAGAAGATTGGTCTTCTGCATCTGCTGGTGGCTATTACAGAAAAGTGCAAGGACGTCAGCAAAGTCAAGATCCTCAAGTAGGCTTCACAAAGTCCATTTCATTCTGTTTCTGTGTCCTCTGACAGAGGTCTTCATGATCCTGTCAATGAGGAGAAAGAGGAGTGGAGACAACAGCTATGGAAATGCCAACAAGACTGTCCAGCTACCTGACTTATAACCAACAATGGAGACTGCGACGAAGGTCTGCTGGCTTCCTCAGATAGAGAACTTTACTAATTGGCTTTTCTATGTATGTGAATGTTCCTGTAAAGTGCCCTGAGACAAATTTGTTGTGATTTGGCACTATATACATAAATAAACTGAACAAACCAATGGGGTCAGGATATACAGAGCAACTGATGTCTGACTAAACTTACTGTTTTTTTTCAGCAGGTCACTTCTGCTCTTATTACTGAACGTGAATAAAACATCAAGAGTAAAAACACAACGCTAAAGGTGTTTCTCTAGAAACAAACAACCTGAGCAGAATTAGCTAGCTCTGAACAGGAAGGAGAAGAGTCTGGGTAATCCCCGAGCCTCTGTCGCAGTACCAACCCGTGTTTTAGCATCGATCTGAGAGCCTCGATCCAGCAACAGGCGAACCATGTTAGTGTTGCCACGTTTACCGGCCACATGTAGGGGAGTGATGCCGTTCTGCAGAGAAGACAAAACACACATTTTGATGATATAACGTGGGTTGGATGTTTGTCCAGATAAACAGAACCCCCACTCCATGACTCCTTCTTCCTAGACACCAACCATTATACTCCTTAGATGACACTAGAACCTCAGATCAACTCTGAAACATAAAATCTAGAGCCTGACCGAAATCTATCGCAGATACTGATATTGGGAGGGGGAATGTGAATGCCGATAACCAATATAATGGCTGTAAATTTGTTAGCTTTGTCCACCCGCAAGAATCTGGAAGTTATGAATATAACCATTGTTCCCTGAGGGAGGGAAATGAGGTACAACACAGGTCTGGCAAGGGCGCAATCCCACATACTACTGTGTTGTACCGAGTGTACTGACCGAAAGGGAACTAAGAAAACAGCGAGTGGAGAGGGGCTTGTTTATTTAGCGCTGCTGTTAGCAACCATGAAGCTAAGCTAATCAGATCAATGCTATAGCCATCATAGCCCCACACTAGGTTTACAAGTGGTGCACTGGTCATAAAAACAGTCTTCCTTACCGTGTTTTAGCATCAACACAGCTGATTGTTAACTCTAAATTCACATTTTCTATCCTCTACTTCCATCCATCATCTTTACCCGCTTCTTCATTTTGTGGTCATGGGGGTCACTGGTGCCCATATCCTGTGCTCTCACTGTGCAAGGGGCAGAGGACACCCTTGACAGGTCTCCAGTCTTTCACAGGGACACATTGAGAGAAACGAGACAAACAAGCATTCACTCTCTCTCTCTCACCTAGGGACAATTTAGAGTTACCAATCAGTCTAACATGCATGTTTTTGGTCTGTGGGAGGAAACTGGTGTACCTGGAGAAAACCCACGCATGCACGGAGAGAACATGCAAACTCCACCCAGAAAAGTCCCGGGCCAGGATTTCAACTGGCGACCTTTTCTCTGAGAGGCAACAGCTCTACCAACTGATCCATCGTGCCCCCCTCTGCTGGATACATTGTACAATTACAGCTGGTTCAAGCATTTTAGGGGTGAAATTTAGAAGTGTTTATATTGGTGCATAATGGAACCATTATCACTGATACCAGTAGGTCCCCAGATGCCTATATTGGCCTAAAATATCAGCCATACCAATGTATCGGTCAGGCTCTAGTAAAATCCCATCTTTGTGGTTCCTGCTTGTGAATGGACCTTTTGGACCCATACCCACACTGTAATTGTTTGGTTTCTTACCCTTGCTGTGAAATCAACAGCTGCCCCGCGGTTCAGCAGGAGTGTGGCCACGTTGACATTCCCGTAGTGAGCGGCGATGTGCAGGGGTGTGAATCCACTCTGGAACACAGACGTGAAAAAAAAAGAGAGAGAAGAAGAGAAGTCAGACAGCAGATTTGCCTCCAAGTGCGTCTACTTTGACCCTCACCAACTTTACTCCTCCCAGCATGCAGCAATCACACCAAGCATCAAAAGTGAACTGTGAGCAAACTAACAAAGAAGATACGGAAAATGCAACAGAAAAAAATAAATCTTGAAAAATATGTGGACTTAAATGTAGCATCTACAAAAACTTGGAGAGACACACTTCCATGCCCATTATAGTGTACAAACAGAAAAATATTGGCTTTAAAGGAGAGTACACAAACTGAAACCAACAAAATCATTAAACGGACGTACAGTAGACACACATTATCATCATGACGATGGACGCACAATATGATCTCCCCATAATTCCAAACCAACTACCAATGAAACTCACTAGGTGGCACACAAAGTCCTTGTTCCCATTAACACCAGTGACTATGTAAACTGTACGTCATCAATTATTAGAGATGAGAAAAATGAGGAAAGTTAGAGATTGCAGAGCAGGTTGGAGGAGTTGTGAAAATCTTGCCTTACCTTGCCGTTCTGTAAGTGTTGGTCCGATATAATGTGAAAAAGTTGTTTACAAATATGTGAAGAATACAGAGACTAACGTGATGGTTTCAGAACTTTACACAATCAAAAGCTTAGAATGGTGCAAATAAACACTACGTGGCTGCATCATGCCTTTCAGTGCAACGTTTCCAGCCAACATTACACATTTATGCAAATATATATGTATATAAAAATACACATATAATTAAAGCAGGCATCCCATGCTTCATATTATTGATCATAAAGGTTGATAATAAAACAGTTAAGGTTTTACACAAATAGCTTAAAGACATTCTATCAAAAACATGCAATAAAAATTCATTTTGTGATTTTTTTTTTTTTTTTTTCAGTGTGAATGACCTGAGCTGCCAATATAAAAACACAATGTTCTAAACATTAAAATATACGTTTTAAAGTTTTATATTTTTGGACTAGTTCTTGTCAAATTGTGTCAGTTTGTCAAATACTTTTACACATAATATGATTCTAGACTCCCAGAGTGAGGTTTGTGTATAGAGGCTGCACATCTTTAATCTGTTGCTGTTCTGTTCACCTTAAAGATCCGAACTCTAAACTGAGAACATCACACCAAGATAAAACAGTTTTTACGTTACCCCTTTCCACTCCATGATGGGGGATGATAAATCTGATCATTTTTATGGTCAACTACCAAGCAAGAGGCAGAATGAAGACCAAGGAACTCCCCACACACGTCAGAAACAGTTGTAGGAAGTTGAGATCAGAGTTAGGTTGGAAAACATCTCAGAATTTTGAAGGTCCTACAGAGCTCCGTTAAATTAAATATTAGGAAACAGACAGACAATGCCACCAAAGCAAACTGGCCAAGATGGGCTCATCCACCAAAAATCATGGAGCGAGCAAAGAGGTCATTAATCAGGACACCCAGGAGACCAAAACTAACCCTGATGCAGCAGCATCTATCTTATCTTACCTCTTCTGTACAGATGGGAGGATCTGTCCATAGGTCAGGAGGTTCACCCTCCTGTAGGACAATGACCCCAAATGCACAGCTGAAGCAACAGTCCACTGGTTTCCAAAGAACCAGTTAAAGGTCCTGGAAAGGTCCAACTCAGACCTCAGCCCACCTGAGAACCTCTGGTCATGGTCATGAATGGACAAGTCCAAAGGTTAGATGGACCAAGACTTGAAGAGACCTGATGCTGGAACTGATGCACTGAACCTTTTACAGGCTGACTACGTTTAACCTCAAAATTCACCATTTATATATTATTCATCATCAAATTAAAACTATTAAATGCTGCAGGGCAACAAAACTGTAAAAATACCCAGAGTTATGAATGTTGTTGTAATCTGCTGTATATCATGTATTTTAAAGGATTCCAGCAGTGATGTAAACACACGTCGACCTCTTTCTATTTCAGAGTTTATGGTTTCATTTGGTGAAACCTGGAATGTTGCAGGATTTCCTCGTAGCAGAAAGATTTGTGATGGTCTTTTAAAACATCTGAAAAGGTTTATTTTTTTATTTTGGAAGCTTTGGTCATTCACTATATTTGAACCATGCAACACGCAGAAGATGACAAAACAGACCAACAAACAGCACGTCCACATCTTTCCTACAGAGCATCAGCTTCAAGCAGCACAGGAGGAAAATGCAGTTCCTTCACACAGACCGATAAACTGAATGTGGTTGCCATGGTGATATTATTAGAGGCAGCCGTAACAAACAACAGCTAAAAACGAATGTACATAAAGAGGAAACAATAAAAGAGAACTGTGCAGGTTTTGAGTGCAGGGGAGGCCATTCCTGTCAGCCATGCATAGCGGCACCAGAACCAAACCAACTGGACTGTGGGGGAATGAGACGTGAAGCAGAGGACGGGTGATTTACAGAAACACTGAGGGGTGGGCGTGGAGGGGAGGAGGGAACGAATGGCAACAAGACACAGGTGAACCTGAGACAAAGAGAAGGAGGGTGTGTATACCTCAGTAGTCCTATTGACCATCATCTGTTGCGGGGGAGGGGGGGGGGACATCAGTTCAGTTAGGCTTGCTTCACACACAAACACTGAAGAGGGTGATCAGTGACGTGGCTAACACAAAACTCAAACAGAAGTCGGAACCGTTTGTAAAAATGTGCATTTTGTCAAAAGTCAGTTCAAAACTGTGGATTAAAACAGTCAAAAAGATCTTTTTTGTAATGAATTGATGGAAATATGCAACTTTTTCATCTGTTCCATGTTTCAACAACAGTTTCATCAGGAGCCTTTACGCTTCTAAACCAACAGACAGTATGTTTTCAGTTCAGCAGATTTATTGCAACTAAATGTTTGATAACTCAATTTGACCTCCATTAATGAGTGTTGCAGTGGTTCAGAACTGATTCCAGGACTGACGGGTCAGCGAACGTCTCGTCTGTGAGTCCTGGAGCGTTTGTTTAAAATGCAGCTTCTGTTCATTTTAGAGCATGTTGTGTAAATGTGCGTCTCTCAGCAGTTTTTATCATGATGTTGTTGTGTTTGTGTAGGCTGCACACATTTCATGTCTTCCTGCATGGAGAGGTCGTCATCTCACACTGCTCATCAGCTGTTCACTTGTGCAGAGTGTGGAGGTTGTTGTGGTTGCAATGCCCCTTTTCCATTAGTAATGGTACAGCGCGGTTCGACTCAGCACGGTTCCAAAGCTTTTCCAGTTCGTAGAACCGGTCCCTTTTTTTCAGTACCCATTTCTTTGGGGTTCAAGCGGACCGAACCGGCACCAAAACAAGAGCCGAGTGGAGTCACACTTATCAATGGCAAAGTGACTTTTGTCTCTTGGTTGGTCTGGGAACACCTTGGAGTCCTCCCAGAAGAGTTAGAAGAGGAGGCTGTGGACAGAGAAGTCTGGACCTCCCTGCTCAAGCTGCTGCCCCCACTACCTGACTTCAGAACAAGAGGAAGATGATGGATACATGGCTAATACGCCAAGACACTGAATGAAGCTCCAGATGGAACAAGATTTGTTCAGATGAACTGCACGTCTTTGTTCACGTTGTGCAGCCACACCATCTAAAACAGGACGAACAAGGAAGGACATCTATGTGTGTCCACGTGTCTGTGATCTGTCATGTGCACATTTCTAATTTAATCACTATCAAAATATGTGAGGAACCATTTTTCCTTTTGCCAAACTCAGGCAACCTGCAAGCTACACTTTAAGAGATACTCCTATTTAAACTGGAGAGTCTCGTTTCTTAGATTTGGTGGACATTTAAAAAAAAAAAAGCTCCATGGGGAAGATGGAAACATGTGCACAAGTTAAACAATTAAAACTATATTGGATATTTTATTTAAATTTGTCCCAGCTGATTGTAGTGCTTCCGTGAATAAAATTTTCAAGATAAATCTGCGTGTGATAAATCTCTATAAACAGTTAATTTGAGCTGTTTTCTCACTGAGTCCAGGAATATTGTGCTCAGTAAGAGTGTGAGTGTACAGTACATGTTGCTGTTTATAGCTGAGCTCATCTGACTCATTTAGCGCCCGGCTGCGTCCACAAAGGACCATATGTCATTTTTACTAAATGTATAAGAACATTCTGGTTGGACTCCACAGGGTTTCTCCACCCAGTGAAATGAAATATGAATTTTCTAAAATATTTAATAGAACTCTGCACTAAAATAAACCATCTTTACTCTAGCCAGGTCACTTATCATTTTGAAGTGAGGTATTGTGAACATGCACAGAACAATTATTACTGAACCTGTCGTACACACAGTACATGTTTGAACGAGCTCAGTTTGGAGTTGATTTCTGACAGGACTGAGGAGCTAGTGTAACAAGTTAATAATTCAGCGATTCCCAACCCTGGTCCTTGAGGAACACCATCCTTAATGTTTTAGTTGGTTCTCTGCTCCAACACACATGATTCAGTGGTTTAATTACATCTTTAAGTTTGGCAGAAGCCTGTTAATCACCATTTAATTAACATTAGGTGTGTTGGAGCAGAGGAACAACTAAAATAAGCAGGGTGGTGTTCCTCAGGGACCAGAGTTGGGAACCACTGGAAATACTGCATTGAAATCCAACAAACCGCTCATGATTTGTTGAGCAAATCAAAAAAAAAAAGAATTAGTACACAATGGTTTCCCTAATTTACTTGCCTTGGCAGGGCGCTCATATCTTCCATATTTTTGTCCGGGGGGGGGATGACAGAGACTGAGACATGTCTGTGCTACGAGCTGTTTATACAGAGTGCGACGGAAGCAGAGTGTTACCTCTCGCTTTTTAGCTGAGCGCTATGTCAGGGCCGGCTAGGCAGGGCGCTCACTTCTGTTTACAGGGCGGGGCGCCTGCTTGTATAATGGTAGGTGAAACACTGGTACAGGTTTTAGCAGAGCAGTGAGTATGTCCTACTGCACTTGAACGCAGCCCATGCAGATTAGTCATGTAGCCTGGTACATTCAGAGACGGGGCTAGATGCTGCTTTGGGCTATAGGAGGTAAGATGTGTGATGCCCCGGGTCCTGATTTAATAAAATTTTATTGCTTGATTCACATGAAAATACACATGTAATGTGACGTACAGTAGTCCCACGCTACTTTGAGGTTAGTTTTTCATGGACTCGCTCTATCACGGTTTTGCAAAATAAGCTTGGACATGACACACAATTGGCTGATGGATGAGCCGCACGGTTGGCATGGAATTTTTATTTAAAATAAATTATTTTAAATTATTTAGCACCTGTGTGCAGCCCACACTGCAGGAGAAACTTCCTCCTACAGCTCCTCCTCCCTCCTCTATCAATCTCTGTTCTGCAGCGGAGAAGTGGGCGTGGCCGAGAGCCCACAGAGCAGCCGTGGCAGAGAGATGAGTTCATGACATCCTGTGCTTTTTAGAGTGGTTAGAGTTTAAAAACATTGTTTAGAATATTGCAAGTGTGTGGGAACGGTTTTAAACACCTTTATAT